TGTCGCCGATGGTGGGCCGCCACGGTGTGGAACGCGCGGCGGCCGGAGAGGGTTAACGTGGCGCCGACGTGCATGACGGTGGAATTGGTGGTGCTCTGGACTTGGAGTGGCAGTAAGGTGAACGAGGGGGGGAAGATGCAACGAGCTGTCGTCGCTCTCATCGTCTTTAGCAAAGTGGATGCCTTCGCCGCCGAAGAAGTAGCCGGAGTTGAGCTGGAAGGAGTGGATGAGTGGCAGTGTGTCCTTGCCGGCGGACACATGGCCGGGCGCGGGGGAGGGGATGCTGCACAGGGTAGAGTCCGTGGCAGCGACGACCGAGGAGAGCGTGGCCATGGACAGGAGGAGGAAGCAAAGCCGATAAGTGGCCGGGTGGCTGTGATTCTTGGCTGCCGCCATTTTGGTTGGGAGGAAGACCGTGGCGGCGAGGTGTCTCATCGATCGGCACTCACAGTAGCACCCGTCTGTGCGGTGTTTATAGAGAGACCATGAAGAAGCGGACGGAATGGACTGTCTCCTGTGTCTGTGTGTGCAGCACTGCTGCCGCCGCCGCCGCCTGCTGCTCAGGTCAGATTGCGTGGCTCAGGTCAGATTACGCATATTCGCCTCGGTCCTCGTGTACCTTCCGTTCAGTGTACTAGTCTGCCAACGACCCAACGGTTCACCGCTGTACTACTCAAGATTGCGTGGAAGATTCCTACGCACGCGCTCTCCACGAATCTTCCAATCCAATTTCCCGTCTGACTTGATAAAGCCTCTTTGTACTCTCCATAATTGCCAATCCCTATGTATCAAGAACAAATTCGTAACTTTTTGTTTTGTTTGATTAAATTTGTTTCCTTCTCTTTTTTTATGCGATAAGAGAGGGTTCACGTATTCCGACCCTTCCGTGCGTTAAAATCATAGGGCTCGAGGTGTGTAAGAGAGAAACTTTGATTATGCTGGTGAGTAAAGTTACCGTAGCCGTCGGGGTGTGGATTTTTTGCAGTTTGACCAGGCATGCTCGGTTATTCGTTCCCACAAACCTTGCCACCAACCTTAACGTGAGGAAGAGGTCCAGCGTAGCGACTGTTTCGAAAAATGGTGTAATTATACCTTTATAAGTGAGATCCGACCCCTTGTAGTTGCTGGGGTCGAATGTTACTGAAGACCGAAGAGATGATAGCGAAACTACTCTTGTATTCGCACGTTCCCCTTCCTTAGGATTTTAGCTATCGTTCTGCGACCGTGCGTTCGGTCTCCTTGTAAGTCCAACCTTCCCCAAGCCCCCGCGCGTGGCGGGGATTCGGTCAAGGGTCGGCTCTTTTTTTTTATGATTATCGCCCCATCGCGGTTTCCGCAACCGGAGGGGTTGAGGTGACGTCACTTGCCTTGATGGCTCAAGTGACGCTCTCTGTGAGCTCGTTAACGGGCATGTTCGAACAGAATCCGGTCCCGTTGCTCATGACGGGATCGGCAAAATCCTCGTGTGGCATTCCTGTTGCTCCTTAACCTGTCCTCCAACAGATTCCCCCTCAATGGGGATTCTATGGGCTCGGCTAAAGGCTGGATCAAACAAGAAGTTTGAGATGACCCTATCCGCCTCTACGTGGGTTGGGCGAAGGCCGCTGAGGCTCATCTGCGTTTTCTCCTCTGGCTCTTGTTTGACGCGAGGTGGCCTCGGGCCCTCCGAGGGCCGACCTTTGGGCCTCGGTCTCTCGATCTAGGATCGGGCGACTCGAGCCCCCGAGCCCCATGGGGTTCGGTAGGGGTCGGCCGTGTTTCTTGCGTCACCCTGTCCTCGGTTTCCGCAACCAGAGGGGCTGAGCTAACGACACTTGCCTCGACGGCTCAAGTGTCGCGCTCGGTGAGCTCGCTAACGGGCACGTTCGAGTGGAATCCGGGTCCATCATCTGCTGACGGGGTCGGCAGAGCCCTCATGTGGCATTCCACTACTTCTTAACCCGCCTTTCGGCAGATGCCCGAGCCGTTCGATAGGCTCGGGTGGCCCATTGGCCTCTCCTTGATGAAGATTCTGTGGGTTTGGCTCAAGGTTAGAATCGAACGAGAAAGGTTGAGATGTCCCTGTCCGCCTCTGAGCGGGGTCGGGCAAGACCGCTGGGGTCATCTCGGTTTTTCTTCCTTGGCTCTATTGGACGTGAGGCAGCCTCGAGCCCTCTGCGGACCGGCCTTCGAACCTCGGTCTGTCGCTACTCATATCGAATGAGACGACTACCGCTTCGTGACGCGACGCGAAGCGTTGAGATGCGGCAATCGCATATGCAATGCTTGGATGTATGTGATGAATATATGAATGAGTAAATGAATATATGAATGACCATATAATGGAAAAGGCGGGGGTCGGTGATGTTACCTCGGTAGCACGAGTGATGGGTTCTGGAAGCTCTTACCGGATATGTCCGTGCGAGGTTTGGGCCCGACATTCATGATGCGGTTGGTGTAACCTGCATGAGCATCCCAGTCCTCTGTTTCTGTCTCTTGGCAATGACCCAAGCCGTTCGATCGACTTGGGCGACCTGACAGCTTCTCCTTGATGGAGATTCTGCAGGTAGGCCCCTCCGAACCCTTCTCGAGAAGGTGGATGCTAAAGCTTGGAGTGCAGGCACAAAGACTTCAATCACACTGATAAACAAAAATGCCGTAGCCGCTGGGGCGTAGGGTTCTAGCGGTTCGACCAGTTTTACTCAAAGTTTTACGCCCACACACCGTGCCTCCAGTTTTTAAATGTAAGGAGGGGTCGGGCAAAGAGAATATCTAGTGAGTAGACACTCTCGCCAACCCCTGAGCGATGTTCGACCCCCTGCCGTTGCTGGGGTCGGAGGCTCGATATCGGAATTAATACGTAAAGTGATTAAGTAAGGGTACTTATCTCTCGGCGGTAGTTTGGTGCCGTTCGATCGACCTGGGTACATGTTTTACCTTGATGGTAAGAGTAATGGGTTCAGAAAAACCTCCACCAGATATGAGCGGGATCCTGTCCGCTCCCTTCCTATTTCTCGGCAATGGTCCTGCCATTTGGTCGATTTGGGTTACCTGTTGAGACAAGACTTTCTTGCGGAAATAGAGGATGAAAGCCTCTCGCGCAAGAATTTAGTTAGGAAGATAAGCTAGGCGAAGAAACTTTGTAGCAAATGGACAAGCTTTCAAATTTCGTTATAGCAAACAATTTCCTAGCTCTTCTCCCCCTTTTGTGTAAAAAAGGGTTAGCGCAGTCCGACCCCTTTCGTAGTTAAGGTCATAAAAGCTCGGAGTGCGGGCGAGCCAACCCTGATCACGCTGGTGAGCAAAGAGACCGTAGCCACCGGGGCATAGGTTTCCCGCAGTCCTACCAGTTATACTCAGGGATTGTTCCCGTAAACCTAGCTCCTAGAAATTAACGTGACAAAGGAGGGCATGCACAGAGAATTGTTTGCCGAATAAGCTTATATCAGCCCCCCGAGTGAGGCCCGACCCTTTGCCGTTGCAGGGGTCGGGTGTCACAAAAGATCGGGGATTTCGATAACAAAACTGATAAGAGAAAGTACACGTTTATTTAGGGGTAAAAGCGGCGTAGCTGCTCGATGTTCTAGGCATTGGTGAAGATTTTGTCATCGTTGGTCTTGAGCTTGTAGGCACCCGGACGGAGCACCTTCGCAATTACGTATGGTCCCTCCCACGGCGGGGAGAGCTTGTGGCGATCATTGTTGCTCTGGACGAGGTGGAGGACCAAGTCCCCAACGTTGAAGGCCCATCCCCGCACTCATCGGCTGTGGTACCATCGCAACGCCTGCTGGTATTTGGTCAAGCGGAGGAGGGCAAAATCGCGCGCTTCATCTAGCTGGTCCATGGCGTTCTTGAGAGATGCCTTGGCCTCCTGTTCGTTGTACACCTTGATCCTTGGTGCTCCATAGTCAAGGTCGGTTGGGAGGACAGCCTCGGCACCGTAGACCATGAAGAAGGGTGTGTAGTCGGTGACTCGACTGGGGGTTGTCCTCTGGCTCTACAGTACCACGGGGAGCGAGGCGAGGCGAAGTCTGCCCTCAGTCATCGGGCGAGGCGGAGCCAGCCCCCGGGGGTCAGGCGAGGCGGAGTCTACCCTCAATCGTCGAGCGAGACGGAGCCAGCCGCCGAGGGTTGGGCGAGGCCTAGTCTACCCCCAGACGTCGGGCGAGGCGGAGTTAACCCTCGGTCGTTGGGCAAGAGGTGTAGTTGCGTTCTTGTCTGTTCGGAAGTATCAACGTTTGATGATTATTAGCTCCTCCTCTTTAGGTAGCCAGTATTTGGTCCCCGACAACAACCTACTACATGACAAGCATAAGCTGACAGGGCTGGCTGAGATTACCAAGAAGGGAACGAGGCAATGAGTCAATGACCCAGGCGCGTTTGGATTCAGCCTGTTGCTAAACTGGGCAGCCCGCCAAAATTCAGCCCGCTCCGACTTGGGCGCACAGAGGAAGAAAAATGAACTGCAAGTTGCCAGCACTAGCTGGATTGCTGGAGCAAGCCAAAATGCCAAATAGTAGCAGCAAACCAAACGCAGCTCCTTCCCGGGGCCAGCGACTGGAGTTTGGATTTGCTCCTACCGACGTCCAACAAAGCGCGCCAGCATGACAGAGAGCGTTGTCGCTTATCCGGATCGGCCGTAAACGCCAAGAGCAATGCGGACCTAAAACCGGCCGGCAGACTAAGGTTCCAAGGTGCACAGGGGTAACACCACGCAAAAGACACACATGGCAGACTGATGTAAAAGTACTGTTTCTAATTCTAGATAGAATACGCCACGTGCAACTTGTGCCTAGAAAACAATGGCAGACTGGGAGAATTTATACAGAAACTAACGACCAAAAGCAGGGGTCAGTTAGTTGCACATGGTTTACTGTGGGCCTTTGTGCCCCCAAACATCCTTCTGGGGATAGAACCCAACTATGCCCCTCCCCAGCAGCAAAATCTGTCAATGCTCCTGTTGCGAAGCAAAATCTGTCAAGTGTCAACCTCCCTACTTTGAACTTCCATTGCTTGCTGTGCTATAACTTCAGTATGGTGTCTTCTTCGGTTTTAGTATCTCCAGGATTCCGGAATTCATCGCAGTTAACTCCTATATTGGTGAATTCCTTCAGTAGGTCCTCGAATAACGGCTTAAGTGAGGCCTTGAAGTTGTTGGAGCAACTTTTGTCACCCTCATCAACATCCTGCACCCCATCTCCGACAAGGCAACCAACTTGGGCACCGGCCATGTATGACTTGCATCCTTTCAGGATTTTGCGCCCATAATTGCGGAAATGCCCAACAATGAAGTCCTCAAAATGCTGAAAAAGGGAACACACTTCAGATTTGGAAGCATTAAGATGGTCAGACGATGGTTAACCCTTTTTTTCATAAAGAGCTCATTGTTAGCTTTCTCAATCTACTCCACAAAGGTGCAAACACGTCAATAGCGTGGTGGTAGGTTGGGAGGCTGCCAGCCAGGGTTCAAATCCTGGGTTGCACGAAAATAAAGGTCCCTCACTGTGAGATTTACGTGCTGTAGGTACGTCCTGGGCAGCCAGCTTTCAGGGCCTTTTCTCGACCTTGCGGTTCAAGGAAATTTCCCTTGGGGAGGTCACAGATCTAACATTCTAATACTCTTTCCGAGAGTTCTCAGTATTTAGCAAAGTTGTTCCTATCTAACGGAAGGCTCCTAGATCAAATGACAAAGACATTGTTTGTGAAGAAAGAGTGGTTGCTTAAGAAGAGTTCTCAGTATTTAGCAAAGCTGTTCCTATCTAACAGAAGGCTACTGGATCAAATGACAAAGACATTGTTTGTGGAGAAAGAGTGGTTGCTTAAGAAAACAGAGAGATGTATTCACAAAAACTTATATAGCAAGCAAAAACACAAACAGGTCATGCATCTCCATACCTTTGGTGGATTCCGAAGAGAGTAGAGCATTGTTCTGCAGGATAGCAGAAATGTTTCTTCATTGTACACCATAGATTGCTTCTCGCCTTGAGAAGTGTTAGCATGCATTGCATACCCAGGTTCATTGAAATAAGGTTTGGAATTCAACACTAAGGCCTGAATGGAGACCAGGACTTGCAACATGGTTGAATTAGATGGGTTCCACATCTCGCATCCAGTACCAGACCAGGTGTTTAAGAGGCTAAGACAGACTTTACCACACTCATAGAGATTTGGGTTAAGCCGCAATCCTCCAGATCGGTAATTCACTAGCTGAAAGAACAATCGTATCTATTGTCATGCATATTCTTATAAATGGAGAACAAAGGAAAACAAGCTTCCATAGATACATAGGGCATCAAAATATTCTCACCGGAGGTTTACTTGGATATCGAGAAGGGAAATAGACATCAAAGAAGAAAAGCCCATCATGATATGGAGTGCCTGCTGGTCCAACGATGACAGCTCTAAGCAAGTCCATTCTATCCTCATAAACTCGTACATATATTGTCTCTGTTCGATTTAGAAGAATGTACCAGTAAGTACATGAAAATATTGCACTACGCAGGAAAACAATTTGCATCCATGGCATTTTCTGGTTAAGATTGAACTAGAAGTCATTTTAGACACACGTGAGAATTTTTAAAGATCGACACGTCTACTGAACTGTTGAGCGTGTAGAAATAAGAGGGTAAAGGACAAACATTATGTGATCAATCTGTATTTAACAAACCTAAAACAATAGCCACTTACCTGGCAAATCCTTCTCTAAGACTTTCCAATCATGTTGAATCCGCTTCACCCAGGCCTTTGATGGCTGTTTATAAACCAACTTGATATTAAATTGTGAGGAAATAAAGTGAAGATAGAGCATGTCCAAAGTTTAAACAGCTACCTTCTTAACAGCATGAACATTCCTTTGGCCTGTCAATGCATAGAAATTGTCACTGTAGTCACTAACAGTATCAAACTGTTTAAATGTCTTATACTTTTCATCAATTTCACTGTTGACGACCTTAGTTTGACTGGGCTGATGTGGCATCTCAGTTGAAGGCATGTACCCCCATGGTAAAACTGCTCCCGGACCAGGTGGAACATCCATGTAATTATTCGCACCAGAGTTAAAGCTGCTACCACTTTCCATCAGTGAAGTGCTATAATTATAGTATTTATTACTGTGATCCTCTCCAGGTGCCCCAACAAACTCATTAGAATAAAATGGGGGTAACAGTGCACCTCCATAATATGCTCCTAGGCCATCCCAAGGATAAAAATTTGTGGCAGGAATAGCACTTGGACCAGCAACATTGTTTCCATGATATGCTCCTAGGCCATCCCAAGGATAAAAATTTGTGGCAGGAATAGCACTTGGACCAGCAACATTGTCATGATGACCTCCCAGGCCATTCCATGAGAAAGCATCTATGACAGGAATAACACTTGGGCCAGCCAAATTTGTAGACATACCGCTCTGTAGTTCCTGAACAGAAAAGGAAAAGTAAACCACTGGCATAGTATAATAACCAAGGGAATAAAAAACAAGTACACGAAATACAACACCGTTGTATGCTCTGGCCAATCCATATGAACAAGTGCTTGCTTCTTCTTTTGATTTGATACCTTCTCACCAATTATCATAACTCCATCAGGATCATCATCATCAGCATCAAGTTCAATTATGTCAAAAGGAATAACCTATATGTCGGACATGTAACATATTTAGAACAGATAGGTTTTGTGGCACCATAACAACATGTTGGCACATTTAAAAAAACAAACAAACTTAGATAATCAAGATTCATGTACCAAGCATAAGCCTGAACAAAGCCAAAACCAAACTCATGAATAATCTCATTTCCAGAATACAAAGAACAGCTCACAGATACTATGTTAGTTTTGAAAGAAACAAGCTGCCTTTTCATAAGAAATTGATGCTCACATATTACCATGTACATCCAGAAAGCAAAAACAGAGAAATATAACAAGTTAAGAATCATTTTAGATTTGCAGTCGGCAAAGAAATGATTCACCAAAAAAAAAGTTGCAAACCCTGTTACAGCATGAGACAATCACATGAATTGTAAATAGATCTTACCAAAGGAAATAATAATCTATAGAGGAAGAGAGAGGGGCACTGAGGAAGGGTGTCATCATTTGGAAATCATGGTGATCAAAGTCTTCGGAAAATTGGGATGGCGACAACAAAGAAGGATAGAGGCTTAAGTTTTCCTTAGTTTAGTGCTGGCTCACTGTTGAGTGTTGCCTTTTGTTTGGGTTCCATTTTGCAGAGTTTGGTCTAAGAACCCAAGAGTTGTATTGGATGGCTATACTCATTCACTCGTGGATGTTGGTGGCCCGAATGCTTTTTATTCCTGAATCAAAATAATAATAATAAGGTAGCCCCAAACATTCCATAAATCAATCACTAAAATACAAACTGATTAACTCCAAAGTTCGCAGTGGATAGAGGAAGGAAAATTCATAACTGCATGACAGCATGAAAATGCCATAACCAATGCTAGACATGCAGGTGACTGACATGTGTTACGTTTGCTTTAAAGGAATTTTTTTTATTTCAGGAGAGGATTTATAAAACTAGCGTGCAGCCATGGTAAATAAATACTCCGCAGAAAGTAAAATGTGAGAAGCAGGCCACAAAAAAAATAAGTTGTCTATCCAAATTAGCCTAGACCCTGATGAGACTGAGGTATATTCTGATCTCCGTTGATGTACATACATAACTACACGCATGTTACCAGGCCTATCACAGCTTTCCATTGATCATCCAAATGCTGACTAGAAAAGGCCTAGAACAGAACAGACCACGACCACCACAAGGAATTCCTCAAAGTAATCACTACGACATCCAAATGGGCAGTAAAGAACAGCAGACTGCAAGACCAGACACCTGCTTGAAGCTATAATATCAATAATGCAAACACGATTCAGATAACAAAAGGGTGCAGCACAAAGTGCATCATAATCCAGCACCAGAAAGTTTAGATTGAATTCGTTCAACTCAAATCGACCCGATACTAAACGCGGTTGCCAACCCAAATCAATTCCCCAACAATATACTCACGTGAGCACTACCAAACCACGGGGCTCACCACTCTCACAAAAAGTTCAGTATACGCGACCCAAAAAGTTGTTGCCCCTTTATTCTCACAAATCGCCACACCCCAGTCGCGCATTAGAACTTCTCTACCGAGCACCGAACAGACCATGGACGCCGAATAAAAAAACGATGGTTTGGAAACAGAGAGTGAGAGAAACGCGTTTCCACCTGGGGCAGCTTCAGCTTCTTGCGACGGGAAGAGCTCCACTGAGCGGCAGTCTCCGCCGACACCTCGACGACGTCGGGTTCATGGAGCACCAATCTCCACCCGTCCCCGGAGTCGGACGGGTAACCCCTGCAACCAGAACCAGCCACCAATCAAAACACGCGTGAGAAATTCAAAACTCGCCCCCCAACCGCCCCATAAAGGCGCGAAACGGCGCCGCAAAAGGATCGCAGGAGGCCGGCGCGCTCACCTAGAAGAGCCCTCCGCCATCGACCCTGGAGGCGCGGGCGCCGCCAATGCGATCGCTCGCGGCGAGGCGACGGCGGAGCGCGTGGGGCCGTCCGGGGTTTGGGTGCGGACAGAGGGGGAAATAGATTGTGCAGAGTCCCTGTATGTGAAAGCGGAAGGGTGCGGCGAGAGAAGAAGCAAAAGCAACGAAAGGGTCAAAAGGGTCTCCAACTTTTGGCGTTTGCCAGGTCTTTTTAAATCCCGAATGCGTAAAGTTTAGTGGGTGTGTTTTGGGGGTGGGGGTTATCGAACGGACTAATAAAAAGATAAATTATAGAATCCATCAATAATCTATAAGATAAATTCATCCGACCTAATTAATTTATTGTTAGCACATGTGTTAATGTAGTATAATATTATAAATCCTGAACTAATTAGGTTTAAAAGAATTATCTCAAAAATTAATAGTAAATTATATAATTAATTATTTTTTAATTTATATTTAATATTATATGCATATGTTACGGATAGAATGTAAACAGCTACGAAGGTTTGCGGAAGCAACGACGGGGCCCTGCTTCCGGGGCCAGATAGGGGGGCCCGCGTCTGACGCGGCTCTGGCTTCTGGCCTTCTGGGGATGTGGGGCAGTGGAGTACACCTGTCGCTCACCGTAGAGCTTGCTCGGTGTGGCTGGCACAGCGGCCAGCGGCACGGTGTGGTGGACGGCGGCTCTTTCCGTGATTTCCGTGGTTATTTTTATTAAAAAATAATATTCTCAACTCTAGATTATTTTATGAAAATCTGTATTTTTAGTATCTGTAGTTAGTATGGAATATTGCCAACTTTAGATCATCTAGATAGATTTCTCTAGTACTTTACTAGCAGTGCGTAAGAGTGCTGAATAATGCCAACTCTAGATTATTCTCTAATTCTCTGCATTCCACTATAGTAGTAATTAATATTGCCAACTTAGAGATTTTGTAAATCTCTGTACCTTACTATATGTAGTACCAGTAATTAATATTGCCAACTTAAGATGATTTTGTGAATCTCCGCACTCACTATCTGTAGTGGTAATTAATAATGCCAACTTTAGATGATTATGTAAATATCTGTCCTTAGTTGTTTCTCTCCTTTCTTTTTACTTTTGACAATCTTAGAGAATGGTTAAAGACTGAGGTAGAATAATCAGTATTGTTTATCGAGTAAAATGCATGGTTAGTCCATTACTTGTTAGCTTGCGTCATTTAGGTCCATCAACTTCAAATTTGTATTCCTAATTCCAAAACCCTGTTAAGTGGCACATAAATAGTCATACAGGTTCGTGTTATGATTTCATCCGGCGTGGACAGGACACCGTGGCTGCTGAAGTGGACACGTGAGCTCATTGGCGAGGCGTCGTATTGGCAACACCCCATAGCTCTTAGTACACTTCACTCCCTAGTCCTCCCCCTCCCTCCCTCTCTCTCTCTCAACACGACAATGGCGGAGGCAACCACGATGCGACGGAGGAGGGGTGGCAGAGGGAGTTAGTGACGGTGGAGTCAGCGGGCGTCTGCCGGCAACGTGCTAGGAAGCAGTAAGCGACAAAGGAGGAGGTGCTCTTGCGTGCCACGGATCCATGCGGGCTACTTGGCACTAGCAGTGACAGATATGTGGCCATGAGGGGCGAATCAACTTCATCAGCAGCAGTTCAGGTTGGATTAGGTCCCCTTCCCTTGACCATGTGCACTGATTGCCTCCGATTCATAGTGGTTAGGCGGGTTTCGAAGAAACCCTCGAGCTTAGGGCAAGTCTTCTACTATTGCCCAATGCACAAGGTATTATTGATGTTGTACCCACCTTGTTGGTTTACATTTTCCCCTTATCTAGCTGTTGATGTGGTTCTGGTGTGTTGCAGAGCAATGGTGAAGATTATCATTTCTTTCGTTGGGACGAGGACTACCCGAAGGTTTTGTAGTCCAATCAATTGAAACGAGAAGATGCAGAGGTGGGTGCAGAGAGTCCCCAATCAAGAATCTAGTGATGAAGGAGCAAGGTTGTAGTTTGGTGTCTGAACTTGATTAGTGCAAGGAAGATACGACACTGGTAGTAGTAGGGAGTAAACTAATTAAACTGATGAAAGTTTAATGTTTCCTGTCTATGTGTATTCTCTTAGTGTTGTGTTGTTTGTCACACTCCGGAGTAGTGACTTGAATTTGTAAACTGAGTAGTTCGTAAACTTGTTATCCTAATGAATGAATGAATGACATGTTTGCTTTCATGGTTATTAGTACTGATTTGAAGGTTTATACTTGTTATCCTAATGAAAGGTTGAAAGCCCTATGTTTGGTTTTGGTAATTAAGACAACTAGTGGACTAACCTTTTGCTAAGTGTATGATTAAGCTAGGTTAGGTCCCAACGGAACCCAAAAAGGACAATGCCGCATGGCGCCCCCTCTACTCATCAACTGCTCCATGCTCCAGCTCAAACTAGAATATGGCCGTTGTCGACGAAATATGGTCGGCAGTCTACTTAGGGGTATACCCAAGGTAGTAGATTGTCGGCAGACAGATGCGCAAGCCACAAACAAGACGGTGACGCAAGACAGACACAAGGTTTTATCCAGGTTCAGCCGCCAAGAAGGCGTAATACCTACGTCCTGCGTCTGATTTGTATTGTTGTATGTCAATGAGAGATGTTTTTTAGAGGGGTCCCCTGCCCGCCTTATATAGTTCGGGGGGCAGGGTTACAGATCTGGAAACTAATCCTAGCCAGTTACAATTGCCATATGTGGCCAGATAAGGATTCCTATTCTAACCGACCAGGATCTTGATTGATCGCCAAATCCGCCTTGACTCCTTGCGCGGGACTCCGATCAGGTTAACCGGGCTGCACGTCGTCTTTTGGTGGACCGAACCCATCGATCCGGGCCGGCCCAAGCTTAGCCATAAGGGTATAGGGGTTAATACCCCCACAGCTAGTCCCCGAGCACCATGTATTATGATGCGACACACCATTTTAACCTTCTCCGACAAGTAAGGCTTGAGCCCTTGACGTCTCTGACCACCGTTGTCGCCGGAGAAGTCGGTTGTCCAAAGAATATATGGTGCTCTTAAGAAAAAAGAAAAAGATTTTCGTCCTGGGAAGTGTGCCCACTTGTATTTCTGAAAAAAATGTAAGTGCGTCTTGAAGAGTAGCGTCCTTGATCATCAGAGGCGTAGGGGTCAAAAAGCAAACACATTCACCGCAAGGTGAAGTGTGCCCACTTAGTCCCCGAGCCTGGTAGTAGGTGACGTAGGCACGTGGTGCGAGTCTAAAAAAGAATTCCAGATAAGTTGAGAATCCAATCATCGTGATGCGAGCGTACGAGATGCACCGGCAGTGCATCGCACCGATGTAGTCCCGAGCTTCTTTGGAAGGCGAGGTATGAGCCTTGTAGCAAGGTCTAAATAAACGTCTCTCAAGCGTATGTGAGTACAAATCACATGTAGCTGAGAAGAACGATCTCGAAAGCGTTGGTGGTCGGGATAGTCCCGAGCACACATCGATGGCGGAGCAATCCCCAAGCGTGGCGATGGTGCGAAGCGGTGCCCGAAAGCACGCGGCGATGGTGCAGGCGATCCCCGAGCACTGGCGGTGGTGCAGCCCATCATTGAGCTCAAGATATGCGACCAAAAGAAAAGAACGCCGATTGTATTATTATTTGGTGTATTTATTTATCTCCTTACTCTGTCAAGTCCAATCGCCACGTCGGTAAAAAAAGCGGACGGATATAACATATCACTCGCCTTCTTACTCTTTTCGACAATCAGTCGCTTGGCGCCTGTATGGAGGTGCGTCAGTGTGGGCCCTCTCACATGATCAACGAAGAGGCGCGTACACTAGAAATGAAGGGGCGCGTTTGCCGGCGTAGATCTCGAGGTTGTGAAAACAACCATCTGCGGCGCATCGCGCATGACGCCCTAAGAATCTCGAGGCGGGCGAAGCGACGGAGCCCTTGGTTATTTATAATATAGAGTGGTAAGTTACTTTTTACCGATCCCCATTGTCATTCACCGCCGCAACCTTCTTCTTCCTCTCGCTTGAACCCTACTTCTCGAAAATCACCACCAATCCCTCCTCCACCGCATCCACCCTCTTAACAAGGCAGATCAATGGCGAAGAGAAACGCCGGAAGAAAGGCGAAGGAGTGGTGGAAGTCAAGGAGCAGCAATAAGCGAGACCATCGAAGACCTCGTCGCCATGGGAGTGCTCCACAACAAGGCACTTTCGGATGGGATGCGCGCATGAAGGAGAAAGCTTCCCGATCCACAACCGGGTGAGATTGTGGTTTCGAGGATTTCTTCAAGCGAGGCTTTGGGGTTCGAGTGCACCCTTTCCTTGGGGGCTCTGCTTATATTACGAGATTGGGATTTGCAATCTGCATCCCAACTTGATTCTTCTTGTCTCCACCTTCATCCATCTTTCTTGAAGCTTATGGTGGCTTCCAGCCCCATTTCGACCTCTTTCGCCATCTGTTATGTCTGCGGAAGAAAGGGAGCGGAGGCTCGAAGATAGCTGGAGGCGTATACCTCAATCTGTGTGACGGTATGAAGGCCCCAAGACCTGACCGCCCATGGGAACACCTCTCACTAGGCGAATGGTACAAGAAATGGTTCTACATCCACGAAGAGCGAACACGATCACCACAATGTGGCGTGGGGTTGATTCGGAGAAGAAGAATAGCTGGTCGGAGAAGCCCGAGCACTTGGGCGAGATCACGAAGCGCTCGGGTTGATCCGTGGGGAAAAGCTGGATGGTCCAAGCGTGGTTGGGAACTTCATCACCGAAGGATCCAGCCCTACCAAAAGAGGGTACATCCTGGCTTCGAGTACCAGGGTAGCGCAGATCCGACGAGGACTAGAAAAGAGGCGCTCGACAAGATAGAAATCAAGGCCAGAATTGGGGAGCTATTCAATCTAGCTGACCCCAATTATGTCAGGTTAAACGACATCGAACACGCCTTCAAGCTGGCCCGACCTCCCCCAAAGGTAAATGATGCCTCCTTGTACCTGTAGA